ATGTGACGAGTCTCTTCTGCATTGTAGTAAATGTCGTATTTTCCAAAAATAAAGTCCAGGGAAGCCCAATACCCTAAATAATTAAATCGCTTGGGGGTATTGGGCCAAAAATCCCGTTTACAGGTTTTTTATTTAGTCTAATAGGGCAAGTAGAAATTTATTTTGGGTTACACGACATTTTCTACATTGACATGGAACTCGACACGTCAAGGTGACGAGTTCTAATAAAAATATTTTTTTATTCAAACTTTTTATTTGAATGTGATAAATTTCAATAAATATTAAATTTTATTAAAACTTGTCACCTCAAAGTGACGAATTTGAATAAAAAATATTTTTTTATTAGAATTTGTCACCTCAATGTGACGAGTTCTATGAACACTATATAAAATACCATAAATCTCAAAATAAACTTCTATTTACCCTATTTTCTTAAATAATTTACTCGTTTGCCCTATTGGGCCAAAAAAACCCTAATATGTCCTAGTAGCCTCCATTTTTCAAATTAGTGAGTAAACTATACAAATAGCAATTCATGTTCAAGTAAATTTATCCCTTTTCCACTAATATTTTAAAATTAATGATTTGATCATTAATATTATTGATTTATAACAAATTAATCATTTGACGTTAACAGACGTTATTGGAGATAAAAAAAACGTTGATGTGATCAGGGATGAATGCATGATTTTATGTCTGGAGGTAAACTTATAAACTTTTAAGAAGGGAAAATTTCATAAAATTTCAAGAGACAATAATAAATTTTCAATAGAAAATACATAAAAAATTTAAATATTATTTGATTCCCTTATATTATTGATTGATATTTGATGTGTCTATGAAAAATAATATTTTTAATGAAATTATTAAATATTTAAAAGAAAGGAGAAATCAAGAGTTGATAACAGAGAAAAGATCTAAATCTTCCCTAAAGAAATAAATACGAGTTTCCTTTTTCCTGCACAAATATATATTTATTTCTTTTTCTGTTTCCATTTTTTAAAATATTTTCGTGACATATTTTTATAATATAATCCAACAAACAACATTCTTGATCATAGCGTCGTTTTTAAATGAAAAATGGTTACCCCCATGTTATATGTACTTCCACTTTTATATCCTACATTTTTATTATTAGAAATCCAATGTCAAATAAATTATTTTAATTATTTATATTTGACTTATTAATTAATTGATTCAAATCCAATATTATAAAGATTTATTATAACAGTTATCTCTCCGATTTAATTTTTTATATTCACAATATTAAAATTTATACTACTAATTTAACTTCAAATTAACTTTTGAGTGATTATAATATATTTTTTATTTAAAATTTTTTAATCTATTGATAACCCACACACTTTACAGATATCAATGTTAGAATTCAGTATCTCTAAGAAGAGCAATATTAAAATAGTAATATATTCTTTACTAGTGGCCCAACCAAATAGTATATCTAATGTGCCCATTAATAAGCAAAGAAACATCTCTTTTGCTGCCCTCTTTCCATGCCCTTAAAAAGGGGTCCCTTACTTCCCTTATGCACACTAAACCCTACTGGCCCATCAACTCGTGTGGCAATAACGGGGAACATACACGCACCATGCAAATCTACTAAACTCAAATTACCCAAATTCATTTCTTGTCAATCACTGTCACTAAAGGAAATTAATCCTACTAAAATGTTTGCATGAATGTAAGCACATAAATATTTTTTTTAAATTACAAATTATGAGTTGATACTTGAATTATTTGGATATGAAGGTTTAAATATTAGATAAATTAGAAGTTGTCTTTTGAATTTTTGGTCTAAATACAATTTAAGTCATTGTAAGTTTAAATATTAGGCAAATTAGAAGTTGTCTTTTGAATTTTGAGTTTTTTTTTTTAATTTAGGGTGAATACAAGGTAATATATGTATAAAGACTTTCAACTATTTGATAATGAGCCCTTATACCCCTACATACGTGCTTGAACTCGGGAACTTGAGGATAACAATAATCCCTTAATCACTAAGGTCGCTTGGTTCATACTGAACTTTGAGTTTAAATACCTAATAAGTCTTTATATTTTTCTTAAATAATCTAATATTTCAGCTCCTGTCAATATTTAATTCTGGCTCCATCTTTAAGTGTAAATATAAGAAAAATAACAAAAAACAAATGATGAATTTCGATTTCATGTTAATCAAATAATAAAGATTACATATTAAAATAAAATTAAATTAAAATTGTGATTTTTTTTATTTTTAGAGGATTTTAAGAAAATTTAAATTGATAAAAATATTTTGATTTTAATTCGTACAAGCGATAATCATGCAATAGATGAATGATGATGAAAAAGATATCATTCACGAGAAAGAAGAAAATTAAAAAATTAAGTCAATTTTCAGAAACTAAAAAAATCTCAAAAACGTATCGTTTTGGTGTTGACGTTAAATAATTAATAGTCGAGTAAAGATTGATGTTTTAAAGTTAAGAGATGAAATTATAATTTTTAAAAAGTTAAATGACAAAAATAATTTTTCAATAATAAAATAATAATAAATTTTAACAGATTAAATTTTCGATTTGTACCATTTTAAGTTTAATATTTATTTATTAATATCCTTTTAAGTAAAATGTCAACTTTATATGTTTAGTTTTATAATGATCAATTGAGAAAAAATAATATTTTATTTTTAATATCATATTATTACTATAATTTGATAATGTACTTTTATCATTTAGACCAAATATGTTCTTAAACCATAACAAAAAAAATGTGATTTATTTTTTTAGGATAAATTACATTCGATATTATGTAACTTTAGATAATGTATCATTTATATAATTGGATTTTTAGTTTCTCTAGTTACAACACTGAATTTCAGGTAGTGTATCATTTTTATTACTGAAGTTTAGATATTGTATCGTTTATATTATTGAATTTTTAATTTCTTTAATTATAGTTCTAAACTTTTATTTTAAATTCAATTATGTCACTAAATCGTTAAAATTCAAATAGAATAATGACGTGGGCGAAGCAACATTATTTTTGAAGTGACTATTAATGCTTAAAATGAAATCATTTTAGGCATTCAAAATTAGACCTATATGATATTGACACTAAATTTTTAAACATCTTGTTTTTTTACTACTGATATTTTTCATGATAAAATCACTACAAAAACATTCATATTTCACATTTTTTTTTCTTCTTCTAAGATTAGTTTTTCACGTTTGTATAATACAATATTATAAATTTGGGTAAATTACACATTTAGTACTTAAACTATTACTTTTGATCTATTTTAGTATCTAAACTTTTAATTTTTTTTTCAAAACATGCATAATGTTTAGTTTTTTTTCGTTTAGTACTTCACCTTTAAAAACATGACGAATAATTTACACCTGACACCTTTTAAAGGGTAAATTGCATCATTCACCGCTCAACAATCTTCTCGCTCTTATTTTGGTCACTAAAGTTTTTTTTTTAATTTAATTAATTGACTTTTAAATTAATCCTAATTTAATCATTCTAAATTTCAAATTTATTTTTTTATATTTTTAATTATTTATTAATAAAATAATAAAAAATTTCATGTGACAAAAATTATTAATAAAATAAATTATAGTGATTAAAATAGGAACAATTTGAAAGTTGAGTAGTTAAATTGAAAATTTTTAAACTTCAGTACCAAAATAGGAGTGAGAAGATAGTTGAGTGATGAATGATGTAATTTGTCCATAAAAACATAGTATTGTTATGGTTTTAACGGTGAGATACTAAAAAAAAAACTAAACGTTAAGTATGATTTTTAAAAAATAAAATAATTAGATATTAAAACTGACTAATACTAATAATTTAAGTACGAAACATGTAATTTATTCTACAAATTCATACCACGATTAATTAAATACCGTAATAATATAGTTCATATAATAAAGTAATAGGTGTTATTAAATTAAAAACCTCCAATTTGTCATTTTACTGGAAAAACAATCCTCAAACAATATTAATTAAAAAAGTACCCCAAACTGCTCGTAGGATGAGCATGTGTTCTGTGAAAAACAAGATCAGACCTCTCGTTTTATAAAAAGCGAGTTTTATTTATATATTATATATTTATTAAAAAATTAAATGAAATTATCTGAAAAATTAATAAATCTCGTGTTCTACAAAAAAACGAAGTATTTAAAATGTGATTCGAATGTGAGGTAGCCTACATGTGTAATTTAGGAGGGTGTATTTTTTTAATTAATGATATTTGAGATTTTTCATTTAATAACACCACATATTATGGTTATATCCATTGTATAAAATCTTTTAATTTTATATTATTTTAAGATCGTTAGATTAATAAAATTAAATAATGAAATTAATTTATTTTTTTAATGAATATCTTATTTTTTATTGATAAAGTCAATCTTTAATTATTTTATATAATAATTTTAAAAAATATAAAATTAAAATAGTTTTATAAAAATGCAATTAGTTTCTCATGTATATTGTATATATATACACACATACATGGATGTGAAAGAATTAATAGTGGTGAACAGTGCTGATAATAAAGCAGAGGAGGAGAGGAAAGAGTACTCTGACTGTCTCAGTAGTCAAAATACCAAAAATGAACCAGCTTTATTGTTACTCTCTCCCATACCATTCACTTCCTCTGCATCACCACGTGTACGGTTCACATTCTTCATCACCTCCAAATCACAAGGAGGATCATTATCAAATACATCAGAAAACTGAGGGGCTTCCCTGTAAAAAAAACAAACAAACATCTTTCCCATGAGGTGGCATTTTGGGAATCCACGACATTTTTAGCAATCTTTTTTTTCCCGGAGAAAATTATTGTGTTCTTGGAGATGGAAAGCGACACTATTGCAGATGAAGAAAATGTTCTCTAAGCTGCACTCATAAAAGAGAAACATTTTTTCAGCTACTTTTTTTTTTCAAGTTGGAGGAAAAAAAGAGAGAGATTTCTTTTTCTCGGCCTTGAAACTGTCATGGATGAAAGCGGTCCGCTCCGATTCCCTAGAAACCTAGACCCGTCGGCACAAGAGTTTTGGCCGGCCAGCAACGTTGTTTTCCGACCCCAATTTCCAATCTTTACTCCTCTCCAAATTTACTACCCATACGCTGCTGCATCTCCGACGGTTCCTCTTTGCAACATCGGCGTAACGCCTTTCCATGCTATGATTCCAGTACATGTACCTGCACCTGCACCTGCACCAGCGCCTTACGTTGCACCCCAGCCTTCACTTCCTCCTCCGACGGCGGCGGCGACGAGGGCTTTGGTGTTGACGTCGGTTCCATGCGATGTGAGCGAGACGGAGGTGCGGAAAGAATTGGAAGTGTTCGGGGAAGTACGCGGGGTTCAGATGGAAAGGGTCCGAGAAGGGACCGTGACCGTCCATTTCTACGACCTGAGACATGCTGAGAAAGCGTTGAAGGAGATAGTAGACCAGCACATGCAACGGCAAACCAGTGTCCTGGACCAGTACGTTGCATCTGCTGCCGGGTGCGACCCCAACGCTCGTGTACTCATAGCGGGGAGACCTGTTTCGGCGCACTTCATTATTCCGGCGAGTAACGCTGTTCCCGACGGGATTAATCAAGGAACTATCGTAGTTTTCAATTTGGATCCCTCCGTTCCAGTTTCGAAACTCAAATATATTTTCCAAGCTTATGGTATGTTTCCGTTCATTTCTCGATCTTTAATCTTTTTACGGTTCGATTATTTAAGTTTCCATGTTTAGTTTCGTTTTTGGTCGGTTGGAATTAGCGGTCTCTTTCTTTGTTTAAAATTTTTAACTTTGTTGTTTAGGCCCAGTGAAGGAACTAAGAGAAACGCCATTGAAAAAACACCAAAAGTTTGTGGAGTTTTATGATGTAAGGGATGCGGCTAAGGCATTAAGAGAAATGAATGGAAAAGAAATTAACGGTAAACAAGTTGTAATCCAATTCAGTCGGCCCGGTGGATATAGTAGGAAGTTCTTTAATGGTGATATTAAAGCTTTCACAGATAAATACAGTCACCATACAAGAAATTCGAAGTACCCATCTCCTCCTCCTCCTGCGCCACCGCCGCCACCATCTTTATTGGCTCGTAGTTTTTTTCCAAACAATGTTATACCCCATTCCTTTGTTTATCGAAGCCAATCGCCTACTACGAAAGTGACGAATTCTAGTGAACGAAACCCTAATGGAATGGCTGAAGGGGTTGAAGACAAGGTTGGTAGCGGTGGGGGAGGTCCGAAGAAGACTGTAAAGAAGAACCGAAATTACCCGTTGACGTCGAGTAGTAGCAATGGAAGTAAGCAACAGCTGCAGCAGCCGTGTCGGGGCAAGCCATGGAAAGGTAGACAAGCGAAAAAGTTCGATCCTCGTTTCCTTATAAGTGAAGACGCCGTGGTAGAATCTATTTGCAAAGATTCCAGGACCACTGTCATGATCAAGAACATACCCAACAAGTATAGGTTAGTCTTTCTCACAAGATATAATATACTAAAGTAGCTTATTTCTTCTTTTAATTGTGGTTTTTTGAATAATGCATGTTGCAGTCAGAAATTGTTGTTGAACATGTTGGACAATCACTGCATTCACTGCAACGAGCAAATCGCCACTGACAGCGGCAATCAGCCCTTGTCTTCCTACGATTTTGTCTACCTCCCTGTTGATTTCATGTAACGTCCTTTTCCCTTCCGTGCCTCGTATAATATCTTTTCTGTATTGCATAATTCCTTAACATTTTGCTTTGAATTGTTTACTTTCCGAATGAAAAAACAGCAACAAGTGTAATGTAGGGTATGGATTCGTGAACATGACATCTCCACAAGCAACATGGAGGCTTTACAAGGCTTTTCATCATCAACATTGGGAAGTTTTCAACTCCAGAAAGACCTGTGAAGTTACTTATGCCAGAGTTCAGGTTCTTTCTTTTCCCTCGGTTACTTTTCTCTTGTTTGATGAAAAGCTTATAATGCGCATGGATTATTGGTACAGGGATTAGAGGCGTTGAAAGAACATTTCAGAAACTCAAGGTTCCCATGCGAAATGGATAACTACCTTCCGGTAGTATTTTCGCCGCCTCGAGATGGAAAACAACTGACTGAACCACTTGCTATAGTTGGTCAAAAGCAGCTGCAATCCCTCGTCAGTGGTCCCTTGTCGGCCCAAGCCAACGGCGAAGGTGATGATGATGGCTATCATAGCGTGATGGAGGTCTAACGGAATGCAAATTCATTCGAAATCTTTAAAATAATATCTATTTTAAAAAAATTAATCACGTGACAATTTGGATTTAAGACCTTTAAGACATTAATAAATTATTAATATCGTTTGATTTGTATCGATTTGATTTACTTGTTTAAAAAAAACGATGTGAGATTGGGTCTTCTCATAAAACCGAAGCATCTCCCTATGATGAACAGAAGAAAAGCGTGTCGGTGTCTCTCTCTTTCAATTGTACTCTCAGTTGTAAGCCGAAGGATAAATACAATATTTCATGATTTCTGTACCATCTGGTTCAGAATCGGGGTTCTTCTTCCTTCTGGTTAACGGCTAGAGGTTGGCTCGGTTATCTACGTACGTCAATGTTTGAAATTAAATAAAGGATAAACTCCTTTGGTAGTGACTAAGCTTTTTAGGTATTTTCACTTTGGTCATTAAATTTTAAACTTGGATTATAATCATCATACTTCTAGTTTACTTTTATTACAATAATTTTTGTTATCTTCACTCGAAAAATGTTGATATGACACAATAAATTCGTCTTTCTAAAAAAAAAAAAAATCTTAACGTTCCAAACCGGCAATTGTCTAAAAGCTCAAGTATCAAATGAATTGAGAAGTCGTTCGGTAATCTCAATAGTGAGAACTTTCATTTGAATGAAACTTGTCAAATAATTCTAATATTCTTAAAATCCTAATCGAAAGTTAAAATCTAAAATTTTTTTATTCCTCACTGTCAATCATCAGATCAATTTACTATTAAATATGTCAATTTATTTAGTCAGATAGATCCTTTTAATTATGATCATTTTGTTCATAGAAATTAGTCTTTTACGATAACTGTAAATTTAGATCCTTATGATTTTTTTGGACAATACTTTAACGTACCAGATTAGTATTTCTTAACCGTTGTTTAAGGTAGCGATTGTAATGAAATTGAATTAAAAGTTGAATCATTGTAAATAAGTTTTAAAAGTTGACGATCAAAGTGAAAGTGTGCTAAAAGTTCAATACCTACTAATGTAATCTACCTTAAAATAAATAAATCAACTCGGTGCCTGTGCCATCAACAAAGAGGCTTTGCCTTTGACCCTCGCATTCCCATACTGACACTGCTGCCACCCCGCCTCTAAACCCTACAATCTGCAGGTAAATACTCGAAATATCATTGCTTTATAAATTATTTCATATTATATTTATTAATTTTTATGTAAAAATATTATATTTACCTCTAGATTCAATTTATTATTTTATTTTTATTTATTTTCATATCAATTTAATTATCGAGGTTGTTCAATTACTTCATTCTTTATCTATCCCTAACTTTAAATCTTAAATTATAAACTTTAAACCCTAAAACATAACCCTATTACTTATAAATCATAAACTTTAAACCCTAAAAATTAACATATGATTTATAATTTAAGGTTTTAAGTTAGAGGAATAATATAAAATGACTAAATTATAAATAATTTTGAAGACTAAATTGACGCGAAAATATAATTAAGGTAAAAATGATAAATTAGATCTACTATAAGGGCAAATGTGACATTTTTACCCAATTGTTATTATAAAATTATAGAAAATGATTTAGATTTTATGGATCACATCAATTTTTTTCTTTAATTTTGTTTAGTCGTTTTTGCATCGATTTTGATGTTAGTAATCAATTTTCGTTTTATTAATTTTTTAATAAGAATAATTTTGTGTTTATGTCATTTTTTTGTGTCACATTTTTCGTTTTTCATTATTAGTCGTGTGACTTTTCTTTTATTTTATGTTTTTTCTGGATTAGATTTGACGACGTCATGATTGATCAAGATGATTATTATTTGTAGTCATGATTGATCTTCCATGCCATGTATCATTGGATTGAATTTGGATATATGATTTTGCGTTTGTGGATAGTTTCTCATGACACTTGGTTATGGTTTACGTTTCTTGATGGTCTTTCAATATTTTAATCTCATTTTGTGTTTCGTTCGTCAATACAGTCATATTTGTTCGTATTTATTTTTTGTTGGAGTCTTTTAGTTAAATTTTTAACATTTTCCATGCATGGATCTTATATGATTTAAAGTGACTAATTTCAATGTTATAGAAAAATATCCGAATTATATATTTAGTTTACGTGACCGTTGTAAATCCTTATTATAACTTTGGATATTTTAACTTTTTAATAATACTAATTGTTTCTATTAAAAAATAATTTAAATTTTAGCACCCTTAAACTTAGAATGTTTGAATAAATTGACTCATGAATTTTCAAATGCGATATAAATGATGAATCCAAATGTCACAAATGTGATTTTAGTTTAATAAATCGACTTTTCTACTAGCCACAGGTTGAACCCAGAAATGAAGAAGAAAGAAATCGGTTCACCCCATGTGAACCATAATTTCATAATCGTTAACGTTTTTTCTCCAAGCTCCATCTCTCTGGCTCACCTGATACTCGTGCACGTCCCGCTTTGGGTTCTGAGTTTAGGTTAAAATTTGGCAAAACAGAGTTGAGTTTGGTTTCAACCTCGTCTGGTTGGTGTCAAGCAATGCTGACAGTTTTGTTTTCATGTTTTTAAGCCGTTTTTTGTAGTTCTGTTGTACAACAGTCTAATATAAGACTAAAGAAAAACGTTACCGAAAATGTTAATATTTTTTTAACATTTTCGATATAGCGCTACTTAAAATGTTATTTTTTCTATCGAAAATATTAATTTCGCTACTTAAAATGAATATTTCCGATATTAACATTTCCTGTAGAAAAAAATAACATTTTAGTTAGCGTCCGATATTAATATTTCTAATAAAAAAAATAACATTTTAAGTAACGCTCTACCGAAAATATTAAAAAAAATATTAACAATTCCGGTAGTGTTTTTTCTTAGCATTATATTATTCTCCCGTGTTTGGAGATGTTGCATGCAAAGACAAATATGTGGTCTAGCTGTGATCAGATGAGATATAGAGACCGTCAGTGTTACAGGAGCCTGCTTGTTTGCAAATTTCAGGAGAACCAGACTGACTTTGTTTCAGATTCGGTTGTCGCATTAACTTCCATTGTAATCGAAACCTGCTGCTCTCTCAAGGGGGTAAATGTAGTAGGGTTCTCTCTCTCTTGCTCCCTCCCGATTACATCTCCACACCAAAAGAGTTGAAACCCAAAATTTTTCACTACCAATTAGGAGTTAATATAGAGTCGAATTAAACATTTTTATAACACAAATTTTATTTGAAATTCTATCAAATTGAATCAAATTCATGGAATTTCGAGTCAATTTAAGTTGTTCGAGTTTTTGTTTAGATTTAATTGTAAATATTTATAATATATATTTCTTTATATTTTTTCATATATATATATATATATATTAAGTTGTTCGAGTTTTTGTTTAGATTTAATTGTAAATATTTATAATATATATTTCTTTATATTTTTCATATATATATATATATATATATATATATAGTTGAAAGACTATGTTTAACTTGAAAATTAATTTACTAATTATTAACAATTTTGAATTATTCAAGTTTTATTTTATAACTCGACTCAAATTTTATTTTTTAAAATGAGTTGAATTTATTAAATCACGAGTAAAACCAAATTGAAATGAAAATTTTAATTTTTTCTATTTGAGTTGAATTTTACTCACTCATCCCACTAATAAAGTGGATATATTATGGGTTTCTACCGGAGATTTAGATGGGGGAAAGATTATCAATAAAAATATTATATTTTATATTTATGTTAAAAATAATAATTTTTAATCGATAAAATAATATATTAATAATGCTAGAATTTAATTATACAAAGATAATCATTTTTTTCACAAACCAACTTACCTCAATGGTTGGTTGGTTGGTTGTCCCTTGTTCCCATATGTAATGGGGTAAAGGGGAGGTAAGATAGTAGGCTGCCCCCAACACTAGGTTAAGAGTAGCTTCCGTAGGAGACCTCCAAATTATGAAATGCCCTCCATGGGACTCGATCCCACGATCTCAAGGTTAAGAACCTTGTGCTCTACCAACTGAGCTGGATGGGTAGTTGTTCCTAAAGGAATCGTTGTTGTTCCCACGATCCCACGATCTCAATGTTTAAAGGAATCGTTGTTGTTCCTAAAGGTTACGGATTCGAGCATCAGCTACTGCAGCAGGGTGATTGAGTATTTATTGTCAAATGGTTAATATTATTTAGAACATATACTACTTTGTAATCAATTTAGCTTATTCGAAAAAAATAATCATTTTTTTATAAAATACAAAGAAACGTCTTTATTGTTTTATTTTAAATAATTCTGGTAATGTAAGGCTTGAGAATTTACCTTATTTTTAACATTCTTAATAATTGTACTTAAATTAAACTAAAATAATAACTAATGATTTATGTTATCTAACTCTTTAAAACATTTCAAATTTATCATCGTCCTCGTGATACGTTGACGAAAACAAAAGAATTTTGCCTATTACATTTATTATAATTTTATCATTTTCTCTTATTATTTTATTAAACTTATCAAATCAGAATTGCTAATGATAAAACTTTGATTATAATAACTATAAATAATTCTTTTTTTTTTTTTGAAAATTTGAAGCAAATGTTTTAATCAATGATTGTGTGAGCAAAAGAAAAAAATGAATAATAAAGCAGTTAAACCTACAAAAGGAAGAAAATTCTTGAAAGTGGACAAAAAAAATCCTTTTTTGATCTTGTATTATTGTTTATACATTAGTCCTTAATGTTATGTAAAAAATAGTCATGATAACTGTTCATATGATAAATTTAGCTTCGAATAATAGATTTAATTCTGACTTGTTGCATAGATTTATTAGTGGCCATATCATAGAATTGTTAATTATCCAAAGAATATAAAATTCCCCTATTGTATTTATAATTTTCTCTTAAAGAAATATATAAAGAACTATTATTTATTTTATTATATGATCATTATACGTATCGTCGTTACATTTCGACAATACACACAAACAGTTGATGCTTAGAAG